TACCAATAACACATTTGTACCTACAATCCCAAAAGGGAACTGGAAAATGTCCAGAACCTAACTGGATTCCATAAAATCTCCAGCATCAACGACTTTTCTGTTGACACAGTCAACCATAGTGCTAGCTTCCAGGTTCCCTAGTCGGCCAGAAGACCGACTCAGTTACTTTGAAGACCATGGTCTTCTCCCAATTGTGACTCCTTTGCTGTAAAAGAAGCCTTCATCTGCATGTCTTCTCACTAGACTTGCAGCCATCAAGGACCTTCTAGTTCTTGATCTGCTGCAGCTCTTCCCCATCTTCCAGTCGTCTTACTTGTCCCCACTATAAATCAAAGGTTATAATATCAAGGTTTTTTTTTTATTCCTCATGCTCAGTTAATCTTGCTTTCTTTGTCCAGAGTAAGAGGGGTCAAGTTTTTAATCTTTTCACACCTGCCCACCCCCTCTTTTCCCACCATGGAAACTTTCTAATGCACTAACAGAAGGTGAGCTTGAAAAGAGAACTGGAGTAAAATGCTAAGATGCGATATGTATATGTACTAATTCCCCAAGATGAATGCAATTATTATGTAGCTTAAATATAGTCTTTAAAAAAAAATTGGAAAAAAAAAAAAAAAAGGAACATAGGTCAGAGATTCACTGAAGACCATCTGAGGATTTTTTAAAAAAGAAAATGAATAAATGAATAAATAAATAAATAAAGGAAGGAAGAAAAATGGCCAGGCATGGTGGTACATGCCTGTAATACCAGCATTCAGGGAAGGATGAGGCAGGATCACTTAAAACTCAAGGTAACCCTGGGCTACAGAGGAACTCAAGGCCAACCTCAACTACACAATAAGACTCTGTATCCCCTCTGCACCCCCCACTCATTCAACAAACAAAAACCCCCCAAGGATCCTAAACCCCAAGTGCTTCAGGAAATACCTCTCCCTGAACAGAAGAGAAACCACAGAGCCAGGGTAGGGGGAGGCAACTAGAAAAAGTTGTCACAAGCAGATCCCCACTGAATACCACAAGTTAAAGAGCAAGTGTGGCCTAATTCACAAAACACAAGAGGCACTGAGCAAGGCCAGTCCATCCTCAACTTTCTCTCACTACTTTAAAGCTTCAGTCCTTTCCACTAAAAATATCCACACTTTTCCAATTCAATTCCTGTGCTGAACCACATGAAGGAAAATTCTAAATTTCAGAGACAAAAGAATTCTAACTAGGACCCAGATTTCCGTGTTAAATCCTAGCTACACTGCTCACTAGCTATCTGATTTTAAGCAAATCTGTTGCCTCTCCCAACAAGTTTGCCAGCAACACAAGACAGCTACCATCCTGCTACACCCCAGGTGACATGGCTAAGCACAAGCTAGTGATGGGCAGGGAGGGATCAGGCTCCTTGGACTGCAGCTTTGCTCAGTAGACAAGTTTTCTCAGGTATGTGTGGTTAGGTCACCTAGGACAGAGACCAGTGCCTGAAACCATGGAATAATTTTGTTTCCCAACTAGTCAGGAAAAAGGTCTTCAAATAAACAACTGATGCTGCCCTTGCATGGGTGGAAATAAGCCCAATGAGATGGCATCACAGTCTCACAAAGCCATTCCTGTCACAGCTACAGCTACTTCAGCAGAGGTCATCGAACCTTCTCTCACATCATCAGAGCCCGTAATACAAATCATCAGGTCACTATGGCCAACCAAAGAAAAGGAGAGGGATTGTGCCTCCAGACCAGAATATTTAGATAGGAAAGATTAAACACCCACTCTGGAGGAACCATTATGGGATGCAGGCAACCTGGGTTCCATAGCTGGGGTTAAGGAAACTACTCAGCCCACTGTGATGGCTAACATAAACCTGCAATCCCAGCTGCTCAAGAGAGTGATGGCAGGAGGATTGTCAAATTCAAAGCCAATTTAGTGAGGCCATGCCTCAAAATAAAATTTTCTTAAAAAGGGCTTAGGATGGAGCGCGGCCCTCCCAGGTCCAATCTCCAATAAAACAAAACAAAACATTCAAATTACTATGTTAAGTTCTTCTAAGGCCTGGACATACACAGCTAAAGTGGACAGGGTCCCAAATAAGTGTACATAATGACAAGGCAAACCAGGCTCCTAGAATAAAATTCCTACCTGAGCCACTCACCTGAGTACTCTGTATTTAAGTTCTGCAATCTAAAATGAGGTTAATAACTGTATACCAGGCACCACCTTAAATTACACACAACTTTGTGCCAAGCATGATGGCATATGCCTGCAATCCAGCCTAAACTGCATAGCAATACTGTCTCAAAAAAAGAAAGGGGCCAGGGAGATGGCTCAGTGGAATAAGCATTTCCCTGGCAAGCTCAAGGGCCTGAGTTCAATCCCTAGTTCTGCCAAAACAAAAAAAGAAAAAGAAAAGAATGTATAAATTCCTGCTCAGAACAGTGCCTGACAAATTAAACACCATCTACATCAACAAAGATCAAATAAAAGCAGGTGGTAGCACACACCTGTAATCCCAGCATTTGAGACTGACACCTGCCTGAACTTCACAGTGAGTTTAAGGCCAGCCTAAACTACATAGCATGACCCTGTTAAAAAAAAAAAAAAAAAAATCTAACCTGCATTTCAAAAGAACCTGAAGAATTTGGAAATGGTAGCACATATCTGTAATCTCAGCACTCTGGAAGGCTAAGCAAGAGGACTGTAAATTCAAGCCCAGCCTGAACAGTTTAGTGAAACCTTGTCTCAAATAGTAAACAAATAAATACATACAAGTCACTGGGGAAGTGCTCAGGGGAGGACCAGGGTTCAATTCCTCTGTTTAAAACAAAGAAAGATGAAAAGTCACAAGCATGTGCTGCCTGACTCCCAATTCTGTAAAAGGCCCTGGCATGCATCAGAACAAAGTGGCCTGCCTCTGTCCTCAGGGGTAAAACTGCCTCCCTTCCAAAAGTTGAGTTCTATCTAGTGCACTCTTCATACCCAAGTATAGTTCAAAGTCAGAGCCTGAACAGAAAGACTAAAACCAGAGAAGCCCCTACCTCTGAAAAGCACCCGCCTAAACGCCTGTTCCTGGCACTCTCAGGATGGTCACAGGGTGAGGTGGGCAAACATATACACAGTTAAGTGACCCAGAATGAGATGTACCCTTGCTGGCCAACCAACCAATCAGGGGCTGAAGGGACCCCTCTAGATTTTTTTAGGGAACTGAAGATACTCAACAGGGCTGCTGCTAAATTCTGATCAGAAGAGTCATGGAATTGGAAGAATAATTCTGTTCCTTTTTCCAGGGCCACCCCCACTTCAACTCAGATCAAAGCATGAGGTCTGCTGTGAGGCCCTCCCATGCTTCACGGGTAGATGGCCACCTCTGCTGCCTGCCTGCTCAGAAGCACTCAACATATAAAGGTGTACTGACTAACCCAGCCTCCGCTTCCACATCAACACCTGACTGGGACGGGTGTGTTCTCTTCACCTGAACATCCCTAGCGATGGGCACACAGCAGCAAGCACTGGCATACACTTTTGAACTGTTCTGGCCACACTGGCAAGGAAAAAGGGAATCTATAATATCTGTGATCTAGAAAGGAGATGCTGGACCCAGAACCAGAATCACCCCCCAAAAGCATGATGTGTATGTAACTGAGCGTAGCAGCCTAATCTGCAAAACTAGAACCTAGGAACCAGAAAAGGTTGATGTTCACTTCTCTACAGGTACATTCATGTTTACAACGAATTTAATACATGAAAATTCAAGACTCCATTGACTCTGATGCCCAACAGCTTATATGGTACCCTCTCCACAGGTTATCTTTTTTCTGTTCCAACTAAAGTCACTCCACGTCTAATCCTGTGCTGCACTGAGAAGTCATAAGCTTCAAGTAACCAGCTGCACTCAGGGAGCTCAGGGAGCCATCAGAGTTTGTCCAAGTTAAATTCAGTAGCCAGGCCTACATCCTCAGGAAGACACAGAGGAAGCAGATGAGAAAGGCCCAAAGCACAGAAGGGTGGCATGTCGAGGGTGGGACCCTGACTAGGGCACCTCAGATGGGTGAACACTTCCGTGCTGCCACACCCAGTCTTGATGCCGCTCACAGACCGCCCTGGCACTTCTGCCTGCATAGGAGCCTTCTTATGTTAAAAAAGTATTTAAAGTCATACTTCCCACTGCATTGGCTTAAACATGACTACATTAATACTCACACATTTTCTTTTACCTAAAGGTTATTTTCCTGCTGACTGTAAAAAATCTGGCAGACCCTAAAAGGAAAGTCGCCTGCAACACTGGGTCTCCTATGCCTGATGGTTAAACCAGCCCTGACTTGATAGGAAATAGGCAGAAAAGGCCCTTCTGGTTGTTAAGGTTCCGATTCCGTACCAGAGACACATACATACAAGCTCCAAAGGAAGTTTCAAAAACATTTAATCAAATCACATAGCAGGGCTGCTAAGTGCTCGGCATCGCTACACACCATGCTTTGGGAACTTTCAGTACGTCCTCTGGGTCGGGCTATATAAACTAAGGACTTCTCTGGAGCAGCGCCTACCGGGGAGACAAGTTGTCACCCAGCCACTACGTCGAGGGCCGCAAGGCTGGCACAAAGCCGCCGCAGTCAAGACTACGCCCGTGAATCCAAGTCTCCCTGCAAGCCGCTCTGGACCCGAAACCCACCAGTCCCTCCCCGAAACCCAGCCCGCAGACCACGGGCCTGAGGTGCTGCAGCTCCTGGCTGGAGGTTCTGCGAGACTACAAAGCTGCCGCTGCAGCGCGTCCAGAGGCGACACCCCGAGGGCAGAACAGCAAGACTTGAGAGGCGCGCTAAACCCAGGTAAGCGCCTGCTCCCGCCCGGACGGTCGGGGAATGCCCGCCCCTCCCGAGTCGCAGCCCCAGCTAGAGAGCCCGGCCGCGGAAGGAGGCCCCGCGGCAACCCGGCCGGACTCCCGACAGCGGCCCCGCCCCCGCCCGGTTGCCCCGCCCCAGACCGCGCCCGCGCCCCCTACAGCGCCCCGCGGCGCAGCGCACCTGGTCGCAGGGGCTCGGTGACGGTGAGCACTAGCAGGAAGAGCAGCAAGAAGGCACCGCTGTCTGCCTTAGGCACCATTTATCCTCCGTTCATCGTCCTCGGGGCGGCCGCGCGTGACCCCGTGGCGAGGCCTGACCGGGCCGGGCAGAGGATCGAAGGGCCGGACTGAGGCCGGGTGCAGGGACGCGACGGACTAAAGCTCTCGTGGGGCCGCGGCGAGGTTCTCCCGTAGAAGAGCAGGGATAGGCGTTCCCGGACGCGGCCGGTCGCAGGCTCAGAGTCCGACTCTGGCTGCGCGCAAGATGGCCGCCGTCCTTCTTGGGCCCCCCGCAGTCCCGCCTACAGCCCGCGACGCCAGCGCAGGCCAATGAGCGCTGGGCAGGGGCGGGGCCAGCCGGCTCCCCTTGGCGTGCGAACCATCTGTTAAGCGGGGGGTGGGAGGGGGTGGAGTCTGAGTGGCAGGGCGCGAAAGGGGCGAGGCCTAAGGTCTGGACGGCTGAGGACTGAGGCTGAGGGGCGGGCCCGAAAAGGAAGGCGGGACGATAAACAACGATGCGTGCCATTGGCTAAGCAGCGGATGGGGCTCTGGGACCAAGCAAAGCGGGCAGACCCCCCAAAAGGGCCTAAAGTCCGGGAGGGCCTTGGGGCAGCAGGAGAGGGATTGAGACCTCAAGGACAGACAAAAGCGGGGGGGGGGGTTGGGGGGAGTAGGGAATGCAAAGCGTGGGGAATTGCAGATGTCGTCATAGGACTGGCCCAAGTTCAACGGTGGTCTTTTTTTTTTTTTTTTGGAGACAGGATGTTTCCTCTACACACTCCCCAAAACGGGGGGTGGGGGGGGTCAGCGGCGCAGGATGAGGTCCTGAGTTCAATTCCGGGTACCCCCGCACCCCCAAACAGGTGTGGAGCACAAAAACTGCAAGGGGGAAGGAGGGTCCACCCTGTTAGTAAAAGGCAGGTAAGGCTTCACAGACACACAAATATGAAACTGTTTCAATAAATGAAAAGGCCTAAGGGAATGTCATATGGTGAATTAAGGGAAGACTAGATCTTAGAAGCAGCTGACCTCCTCTGAAAGAGGGATCTGGAAGATGGATTTGCCAGAAGCACTGGGGGAGGAGGAGAGGCCACTTCAGCTTGGAGGAAAGCCCTAGGCAGAAACTTATCTCACACCTCTCATCTTGAGCAGATGACCAAGGAGAAGTGACACAGATGGGTGCCATAGGCATGGGCAAAGTGGTGGGTGGTCAGCGCTGGGCAAAAGGTGAAAATGAACTGAGCCTGCCCCACCCCCGTTTCATAACTCACTCCAGAGAATCCTAAAAGTTTCAGGATTCCACTGCGTAACATCCATGGGTAAGAAGGGCAGTTCACACTCTCTAAACTGATATATGCCCAAGGTAAAGAACTGCAGGTTAAAAAAGTCGCTGTCAAGCCAGGTAGATAGCTTGGTGGTTCAAGTGTCTGCCTGAGGGGCCGGGGAGATGGCTCAGTGGAATAAGCGCTTCCCTGGCAAATGCAAGGGCCTGAGTTTAATCCCCAGTTCTGCACTACTGCATAGTGAGATCCTGTACCAAATAAGTAAATAAATAAATGTCGCTGTCCAGGTTGCTTGTGCTGCTTTCACAGAGGATTCCCAGGAACTGCTGCTAGGCGCTCAGCGTGGTATCTGGCCCAGCCTTCTGCCCTCAGCTCCAGTTTGCCCTGGAAGTGAAACCAAGGCTATAAGTTCCACAGATCCCTAGGAGGGAACTTACAGTCAGAAGCAAAATTCCTGCCCGCATGTAGACCCACAGTAAGACAAGCAGGCCAGAAAAAGAACATGGAGGAAAAGAACCTGTCCTAACCATGAGGCAAGAGGGCAGCGGCCTGGTTTCCCATGCTGCAGCCCACCTATTTCCTTCTCCGCCCTGCTCTGGGACCCCAAAGGCTGCATGTATGGACAGCATCAAGAGCTGAAGGGAGAGAAAACCAGTCAGAGATAATGTCTTTCCTGTCACTGACTGGTGGACTCTCAGTAACCTGGTCCCTACCTTCCACCCACGGTCACCACCTCTTTCCTGGTGGTTCTTTCTATACTGCTCTTCCCATTTCCTTTCTCTTCCAGGCAGGCCAAGTATCTGTTTCTACTTTACAGTACTTACACCATCCTTGGGGGTCCTTATCTTGCCCCCACCTTTGTAATTTGCCCTTTTTCAAATTTTCCTAAATTCAGCCACCAAAACCAGGCACCTTCTTTTTCCTGCTGGGACCCTAACTGGTAGGGCCACCGACCTTAGATTGCCTGGGATTATCTGGTTTACAACCATCCACTTACCACTCCACATATAGTCCTAACTCCAGATTTGGAAAAAGTGACACACCTTTGTGTCTTCCACAGTCCCTCCCTGACTTAGGATCCAGCCAAAGCACAAGGCCTCTCTGCTGACCTCTTCCAGCCTGCTGGTGGAGCTTCCAGGGTTCCAAGACCAAGTGGCTCAAGCCAGAGTCTTATTCCAGTGGGTTGCTACACCTTTGTGACTGCACTCACTGAAGTCATCTGGGAGACAGTACTGAATATTCCTTCATCTTAAGAGGCAGGTACATCAGGAAGTCCAGCTGACCAGAGGACTCTGCCCAGGTATAATTGAGGTTGCTGCTGGCTCAAGTCCTTCAGGGATGTAGAGAGCAACATCAAAGGCAACAGGTATTCCTGAAACTAAGGTTGCTGCTGCTGCTGAAGCTATATCATGGAGACAAATTTGGGAGAGGGTTCATCCTTAGCAGCCACATCTGCTTATTCTAAATCCCGAAAGCCCAATGTAAGTCAAAATCATTGACTTCAGGAAAGCCCCCACAAAATTCATACAGAAATTCCTTAGAGGGGCCGGGGATATAGCTCAGCAACATAAGCACCTACCCGGAAAGCACAAGGTCCTGAGTTCGATCTCTAGTACTACAAAAAAAGAAATTCCTTTGACGGGAAATTGAACTTCAGACAAGGTTAAACCACCCCACCACTATCAAACCCTATGAAATCTTTGAGACATCTCTGGGCAAGTTGTGTGTTACGGAGCTCAGGGTTGAGGGAAACCTCCTCAAACTCTTCAGAATCCAGGGAGCCCTGCCAAAGAACAACTTTCTCAAGTTCAGCCCGCTCTCCTCAGCATCAAGTACTAATGCCGTGACCTCAGTGTGGTTCACTGAGACCTCAAGTGCAAAAACACTGCTCAACAAGGAGTTAAACATAAAATTGTCTGCCAGGCGTGGTGGCGCACAACTGTAATACCAGTACTCAGGGGGCTGAGGTGGGATTGTTGAAAGTTCAAGACCAATGTGGGCTACTAAGTGAGCTCAAGGCCAGCCTGAACTGCATAGCAAGACCCTGTCTCAAAAAAGACCAATAAATAAATAAATAGTCTGATGCTTCTCTATTGAGAGTGGCTGAAACTGGAAATTGGTCATATGTGAGAGGGCAAAACAAGTCCTCAGTGCTGAGGTGAAGCTACCTCAGTCTTGAGAAAAACATCTTGCCTGGAAAATTTCTACCATTAGCCACTAGGCAACTTTGTGTCTGTTAGTACTAACTTTGCAAAGGTACAAATAAACACTCCTACTGTTTTTCTCTGGGTCCTTTGCCAATCAGGTAAACAGACCTCCACCTGACCCAGTTCTTGTCTTCTTGTCTATCTTTTCCTCATTCCTGTCGCCATTTCTCCCTAGGCTGCCATTTCTCCCCAGGGTACACTGAGAGACCAACGAGTCCCCACACTTCTCCAAACATGGCTTGCAAGACAATAACAAGTGGGGCCAGGGAGATGGCTCAGTGGAATAAGTGCTTCCCTGGCAAGCATAAGGGTCTGAGTTCAATCCCTGGTTCCACCAAAAAAAAAAAAAAAAAAAAAAAAAGACAACAAGTGACATTGAGCAATACTTTCTGTGGTTCTGTGGAGGACTCCCAAGGTGATGCAGCACTTCTAAGATGTCTGACATTTGGAGCCTGGGCAGGATTTTTCTTTCACTCCATGGTCTTGTTAGTTTATGCCCTGCAACCACCACAATATCATGAAAAGGAGTACAATGACGGCTTCCAAGCGCCTGACCAGGCTGTGCAAGGGCCTTGTCTACAGTTGCCCAATATTGACAGCACTGGCACAGTCACACAAGATCTGCAATCACTGCTGAGTGTAGCCCAAGGCACAGATCTGTCCTCCACAACCACAACCACCAGCAAGGGGGAGAATTCTCAGGGTATGGAAGCCTCCTAAACTTCAGAATCTGATTCTGAGAGGAAGTCCATCACTAGCTGGGTATGATGGCACATGCCTGTAATCCCAGCACATGGAAGGCTGAGCCAGGACAATTGCTCCAAGTTCAAGGCCAACCTGAACAACATAGTGAGCACCTGTTTCAAAAACCTGAAAGGACCGGGGATGTAGCTCAGTGGCATAACTGCCTGCCTGGCAAGCTCAAGGTCCCAACGGTTGGGGGTGTACCTAAGTATAAAGGCTTTTGGTTTTGGTGTTCAATCTTCAGTACAAAAAAAAAAAAAAGAGACATAAATCATAAAACCCAGTGTGTGATAATTAACCGATTATGTCAATTTGAGTAAGAAACACCCAACTAGATTGGATCAGCAAGTAGCTGAAGGGATTTACTGTAGACAGAAGACCCACTTTGGGGTGTGAGTGACATCAATCAATAGGCTGTCACCTGAAAGGCTGCCAGACACAGGGCACACCCTGTCTGCTCCATGTGTGTCCACATAGTCATTTCTCTGGCCTAGATGTCAGGTCTGCCTACCACACATGGCTCTTGCCCACCTAGTAGACTTACTGACGCTTTGCACCTGGACTTCTGCATCACTTCCTCTTTGAAATCTGTACATACTTGTTTTCCTGTTGCTGTGACAGAACAGCTGACACCCACAAGTTAAAGGAGAAGTTTATTTTTGGATCATCATTTCAGAGCTTTCTGTCCACAGCTGGAAGGCTCCAAGGCAGGGAACACCGTGGTATCACGGTGGAAGGATATGGTGGGGCAAAGCTGTTAGCTTCATGGCTGCCAGGAAGCACAAGGGGGGAAAAAAAAAACCAAAACAGAAAAGGACAAGTGACCAGATACTGTGCCACATGACCACTCAGACTCACCCAGGAGTATACTTTCCTAATCTAAACATCTGTCAACCCAATCAAGTTGACAAGTTTAACTGTCACACCTTCCACCTCATGCCACTCCCATATAGAAACAGGTCTGCCCAATCTCCCTCTGAACACAGCACCCTGGGGTCACCTGTCTTGGCAGCTCCCTGTGAGCCCAGGATTCCTGGGACAGACCAAAAATGGACATCAGGG